TTTTTTTTTTTGGTACCAGGGATCGAATTCAGGACCTTGGGCTTGTGAGGCAGGCACCAGAACCACTGAGCTAAATCCCCGGCCCAAAGTACTTTTGCTTTTTTTTTGGTACTGGGAATCGAACTCAAGGCCCTGTCTTGCTGCATGTGGGCCTCGGTCCCTTGTCCCCAATTCCTGCTTGACAGGGAGTGGCCTCTGGGCACCCCCGGGCTTTGTTCTCAGCTGTGAACCATAAGTGGCTGGCTGAGCACTTCCAGCCATGGGCAGGGCTGGCCAGGGCAGCCAACGCTAGTCCATCAGTAAAGCAGGGGTGAGATTCGGAGTGTCCCGGTTGTGAGATTTCTGAGGCCCTGTGCTTTCGAGACATGAGCCTTCCAAGTTACCTTCTGCGCTGTTTTGACCTTGGCGTTGACAAAGGAGATGGACTCAGGCGCCTCTGGCAAGACTGTCTGCTGAATCTGGCTGAACCTGTCCTGGTCATCTTCTCCCTGCGGGAGGCCCAAACCAGGACGGTCCTGTCAGCCTGACCTTGTCAGGATCTGCCCACAACACCTCATAATCCTGCAGGCCCTGAGTCTGTCAGGATCCTCACATATCCCTGGAGCTGCCACCTAGGCTGGACAAGCCACTCTGGGAGGGTGGTAGTAGCCAGAGTGGCATTTTTCCAATAACCAAGGGGGGACTGGCACCTACCCCTGCCTGGGCCAGCTGCGGAAGAGGCAGGAGTGTCCCCCATGCTGCCATGGCTGTGGCAAAGACCCAGGACAAGGGGTGCTGCCACTGGCCTGTGCTCAACCCTTACCATGTCATGGCCCTACCCTCATGCTGCTCACCAGAGACACAATCCTGTTGACAGGCACCATGCCTGGTCGGATGCTGCTGCCCAGCCTCAGTGCCACCTGCATGTCCTCGGGGATAACAAAGGACTCATTGTACCAGATGTCAAATTCTGTCAGAAAGAGGGAGACAGGACTGTGAGGTGTGGGGAGCCCCAAGGAGGAGGCAGGTAGGGGCCTTGTGGCCGTCTGGCCTGTGCCTGTGGCAGGCTCCCCCTGTTCACTCCCTGCTGCGGGGTTTCCCACCTTCTTCTCTATCTTCATCCCTCACTGCCCTGGAACCTACACAACCGAAGCCCTATCCAGCCTCTGCCCCTGCCCCTGAGCAGCTCTTGGACAGATCTCAGGCCATGGCCCTTCCCATGTTCTCTTGGGCTCAAGGAGCCACCAGCCTTCCCAGCCTGCACACCCATGAGCAGGCGCTGGCGACACTGATCCACCAGGCGCTGGCAGTACTGGATCTCAGCCCTGAGGTCACGCAGGTCCTGGTACTGGCTGCGGTACTGCTTCTTGAGGTCTTTGAGCTTCAGGATTAGCAGGAATTCCTCCTCGTCTATGATCATCAGCCCCTTGTTCTCGTACTGGCCTGCAGGGGGACGGAGAGTAGGTCAGAATGAGGAAGAGGCATCAGGGGAAGACGGGACTGGAGGCGTGGCTGGCGCAGGCCAGGAGGTGGGCAAAGCAAAGAAGGCCAGGCTGCCTGGGCATGTCCATAGGGAGGGGAGCTCAGTGCAGTGGGGCCCTGTTGGCATTTTAGGACAAAGAAGAGAGGTGGGCAGGGAGGGTGGGGATGGCCTGCATGCCATACTTATTTTAGTGTTAAACCTAATCACCAACAATATTTCTTTGTTTGTTTGTTTACTTAGAGACAGGGTCTCACTATGCAAGTCAGGCTGGCCTTGAACTCATGGCCTTGAAGCCAGGAGGCCTTAAACTCCTGCCTCAGCTTCCCAAGTGCTAGAATTTCAGGCCTTCACCACCACTCCCGGCCTTAGCCAAAGATATTTATTAAGTACCCTGTTATATAAATGTTTATTTTTCATATGAATTATACACATGAAGGTGTGGTGGCACATACCTGTAATCCTAGCACTCAGAATGCTGAGGCAGGAGGATCGCTATGAGTTCGGGACCAGCCTCAACTACATAGTGAGACCCTGTCTCTGATGTCCCCCCCCAAATCATACACGTGAACTGCCATCACTGGGTAGTAAACCAAGGCCCTTGCACAAGGTTCCTTATTAATAACCGTGGATATAAAACTTTGAGAGGAAAAAGCTAAAAACGATCTTTATATTGATATAATTTTTTTAAAAAAATATTTCAAAGGGGCCGGGGATTTAGCTCTGTGGTTTCGTCGCTTGCTGTGCAAGCTCAAGGACCCGAGTTCAATCCCTGGTACCAAAAAAAAAAAATTTTTAAATATGTACTTCCTTTTTCTCTCATCTTTTGGAAATATCTGTTTTCAGGTATATTTAGGAATAAATGACATGGCAGCATAGCACACATGCGTTTTATTTTAAATACATTGCAAGGATCGGCATGTTCAAAGGTTGGGCAGAGCAGACGGAGACGTGCTTGCTGGCCCTTCGCCAGGTCCCCTCCCAGGAGGGTCTAGGTCTAGGTTGGGACATGTGTGGCCCCACTGCACCTGGGTTCTTCTCCCAGGCTCTTGGAGGGCTCTGCCCTCTGGAATAACACACTGTGGTTATCTGTGGGGTGAGAGTACAATGGAAATAAAGTCGACCTCTGAGAAACAGATAAGAAAAATGCACCCTTCGATGATCTATCTGACCTGCAGGAACAAACTGCGTGATGCCAGGCAATCACGGTGAGAGCTGGTCAGGATCGAGGCTGTGAGTTAGCGGGGCAGGCCCAGCAACCTGTGGGGACCCGACAGGAGAAGACACGAGAGGGAGCCAGGAACACCTTCTTGGAATCAGTGTGCTCACGCATTAAAATGCAGGTTTGGGGCCCTGGTCAGCAGGCCCTCCCGGACCTCCCAGAGTGCTCTCCTGCCTCAGGCTTGGCCTATGTGCTAGGTGTCGGTGGTGTGCAACACTGGGTCACAACAACCAAGTAAGCAACAGTCCCACGCAGACCTGTGTCCTTCAAGCCTGGGGCACCCATGCCACCTGCCCTAGGATAGAGGCTGCCAGGCCAGCACAGGTGACAGAGGTCAGAACCGGCAATTGTCACACTGACAGTGAGTCCCTTGGCCCTCTGGCAGCCACATGCTAGTTCCCTCTGAGTTTCTCATGGTCCCTGCCAGCAACTGATCCACTGGCAGGGAGGCAACCTTGTAGGGGCTGCCAGCCACCCATCTCCTGGGGACACCTCTGTAGGACCAAGGGCCAGTTATTCTATAGAAGCAGCAGGCATCAGGTAAAGACCAGCAGCCGGCTCTGAGATACTGCGGGGACAGAGGACTGCACAGAGGAGGGCTGGCAGGGAGGGACTCAGTGGCCCTTGAGGGCTGGCAGAGCCAAGTGATGAGACCTAGGGGTGAAGGCTGCACGGCAGTGCCCTCTGCCGGCCCCTCCCATCTCCAGGGCTCAAGGCTGGCCCCTCAGAGCAGGACGACCCTGAGACCCCACAGCCTCCTGCCCTGGTTGTCGTCCCAGAACCTTCACCTTGCTTCTCCCGTAGCGACTTCTGGAAGTTCAGGGCCTCCTTGGTCACATCAATCTCCCGCTTGATGGTATTGATGTGCTGTATGGTCTCACTGGCCCTTCTTCTCCGTTCATTCAAGATGGATTTGTTTTCTTTGAAGATGCGGTTGATCTCACTACCTCGATCATTCTTGAAATCCTCAAAGGCCACAGGCCTGGAGGGTGGAGTGCCGGGCCTGGGGACAGGGAAAGGCCAAGGAGAAGAAAGAAACAGGTGGCAGCCTTGAAAGTGACGGTACTTCATTTGTCTTCCTTGGGGCTTCTGTGGGCAGGAGGCCAAAGTCCTAGGTGCCACCTACCCAGGTTGGAGCTAAGCGCCCATCATTCCCTCATCTTGCTTTTACTCAGCCCACAAGGCCACAGGCTGATTGCAGAAAATGAGGAACATGCACACATGCACGTGCACACGCACACACACACACACACACACACACACACACAAACAATCTATTGGCACCCATACTTTGGTGTATCTCCATGCAGGATTTCTTTGATACATTTTTAAATGGTTGCGCCCATGCAGAACATCTAATTTTACATCTTACTTTTTCACACATGGGTCCTTTCACACTATTAAAGTCTGAGAATTCTAGGTACTGTGATGTAAGATGAGGTACTGGGCTGAGAGGAAGTGGACTGATGTTGGGAACTCACTTTGCAATGCATCAAAACATTTAGAGGGGCAGACAGAAGACAGAACAAGTCTAATAGCAGGTTTGTTGTAGGACTGAGCAGGTGCTTCGTCCTCACTGCACAATTCACTGCACAATTCTAACTTCTCTGACTACTTGGAAGTATGCATGGGCTGGGGAAAGATTCTTTACACACATCCTTGCACAATCAAAGGTCACAGATACTTCATGTAATGCCCTTTTCCTAATGATGCCTATTGAAGGTGTTAAATGTGTTTTTTTTAATTAAATTTTTTTTTGGTATCTGGGATCGAACTCGGGTCCTTGTGCTTGCACAGCAGGCTGCAAAACCACTATGCTAAATCCTTGGCCCTGTTTTTTTTTTTTGAGACAAAGTATCACCATGTAGTTGAGGCTGGCCTCGAACTCACTATGTAGCCCAGGGTGGCCTCAAACTCATGGTGCTCCTCCTGCCTCAGCCTTTCAAATTTAATTTTTAAGTTAAGGATGCAGTAAATATCTTTTTGGTATAAATCTTGCCTACACCTCTGTTTCCTTAGAACGGATTCCTAAAAACTCAATTACTGACTCACTAGGGAGAAGGATGGAGGAAAAGGAGTTACACTCGTAGCTTGAGAATGTGGTACCTTCACTGCATTGTAAAAGACACATAACTTTATTTTAGTAATTGCTGTGTGGAGGGTCTAAAGCGATTCCACATTGAATTACGTGTCTCGGGTGACTCCTCGGATCATTTTGCGTGTGTCTAAGTCACCTTGGGACTTACGCTGAGTCTTGCCCTTATCCCCTATCTTCTTTCTCTTCTGTCTGCAGGCACGATTACATATGGAGGATCACACTCTGATTTGGGTTGATGTGGTGCAGAGCGATCTATAGATGGTTACCTGGCTAGGCGTGATTCCTCCTTCGGGGAGCTTGAGGTAGGGGGCTCAATGCTGGAGGTTTCCCTCTCCCGAGAAAGCATGTCCTTGACATCCCCATCCTTAACAGACAGGACCAGCAGGGTCTTGGAGGTGGAGATCATATCCAGGTCCTTGCCACTCACAGGGCTGCTAGCACCTTCCTTTCTCAGTGGAACGCTACAAGGCGGAAGGGGCGCACCAGCGCTCAGTCATGGGCAGTGAGGTGGGTGGCCTTCCTCAGCCCTCGCTATGCCAGGCCCCCCACCCCTCTCAGCTCTTATCTTTTCCTTTTGGGTTTGGTTTGGTTTTGGTGCTGATACTAGGGCCTTGTGCATGCTAGACAAGCCCCCACCACTGTCAGCTCCTATCTTGATCATATCCCTGGGCAGAGTGCAACTTTAAGCCATGCAAACAGGAAAGAAGAGAGCATTTTCTCTCCTTTCATCAGACAGGGGTCCCTCCGAAGTCTTGAAGGACCCTGAGGCAGGATGGCACAGTCTCTCAGCTTCAAAGCATGTGGCCCTGTGGGGTGGGCCGCAGGCTCCCAGAGCCATTGGGGCAGCTGCAGCTTCAGTCACACTGGTGTCCCTGGGAAGGCCTGGCAGAGCCCTGCCCAACAGGGGAACTGTCCGTGGCTCAGTGGACAAGTCTGCCCAGGGGCTGTGACCAGTCAGTGTCCTGTGCTCCCCACCTGCACCAGTGCCACCTCAGCTCCTAGAAAAGCCACCTGGGCCCCCTCTCCCCTATCTGCCTCAGGGCTGAACAGATAGGAGGTCGCCCACAGCTCTTTCCACTGTTTGCTCCTCCTCTGGTCATAAGTGTGGCAGGGGACGAGCTCAAAGCATGCTACTGTACTGACTGTGAGGCAGCTGAACAGAGAGGCCTGGATGTGACTGAGCAGGCAGGGGCAGCTAGTCACTGACATCTGCCATCTGACTCCTGCCCTCCTGTGATGGTTTTCTGGCCCATGTGCAGAGAGAAACAGCATTCACTCATGGGTCCTCACAACAGCCCCAGCACTCAGAGGCCATCGTCACCATTCCTGTTTTAGGGACATGGGAACAGGCACAGCTGGTTCTCACCTCACACGCAGGTGGTCCCTTGGGTGTTATAGGTGCAGAGCAAGGAGGAGGGCCCAGTCTCCATCCAAGGCCTGCACCCTTGTCTCCTGCTGTGTGCACTGCCCGGCACTCTGGGGATGCAGTGCGCTGTGTGGGAGCTCATTAAGGGAACCTAACCATTAGCCCCCACCTTGCACATACAAGAAGTCGTGCCTGAAAGCTGACCTGGGGACTTAGGTGACTGAGTGCCAGTCAGTGGAAGGACTGCAGTAAGGGGGCAGGTACCACCTGAGGTAGCAGAGGACAAGGACTCTGCAGTGCTGCCCAGGTCCTCCCTGCAACCATACCCCTCAGCAGTCGTGTGATCCTGAGATGTGACTTCCCCTCTCAGAGCCCCAGTTCCCTCGTCAGACCGGGGTGACATTAGCTCCCATCTCACAGGGCTGCTGTGAGGGTGACAGGCCCCACAAAACTGTGAACACTGGCAGCGGGGATGTCCACTGTGGCCATACAGTAGCAGAAATACCAGGGGCGGCAGGAAACAGCAGGTGTCTGCCCTTCCACCCACGAAGGAGGCCAGATGCCAGGCAGGCAGAGCAGGGACATCACTCACCTCAGCTCTTTGAATGTCTTCTTGGCCTTGGATTTCTTCCCAGGCTTGGCAGAGAAAGGGATGACCCCGAGTCCAAAGCCATGTCCATCGGACTCACCAACTAGGTGGCCGTCAACATCCACAAGCCCTGCCTGGATAGGAAGCCAGTCAGAGGGTCACAGGTGAGATGAAAGGTTTGGGCCCGCCAGGGTCACACATGTTTATGGTGTAAGTCTGGCATGGACATCTCACACCCCAAGACTTGCCTGCTCCTGAAGCCTCAGGAGAGCTGTCCCTGACCTCCCTAGCAAATGCTCACTTTCCACATTACCTCCCTACTCATCCATCCCTGAGGATCCTAAGGCCTGTTTCCAGCCTAATTCCAGGAACGGTCGGTCCTATTACTATTAGCCACATCTCCAATTCATGGAAAGCACTTTCAGTTCCAAGGCGGTTTGCTCTCTCACAGGTCACACCCTGCACATCCTGGTGTTACCTTTTCTGGGGCAGCGCCAGCTCCGGTTTGACCCATGACACTTGCTGCCTCTGCAAAGGGCTGAGGATGGAGAATCTGGGGTGAGTGCTGTTAGCAAGAGGCAACTGTCCATACCTTATGGACGGCAGAAATGGTTGCGAAGTCATTCTTGTCTATGAGGGTGTACTTCCGGCGTAAGGCAGACTCCACTTCCTGTTCCTGTTGGCTGGGAGATAGGAAGAGAACACTTCGTAATACAGGTCGTGCTGAACCCAGGGGGCAAGAACCAGTTCTGGGATTAGAATTCTTTCGGGTGAGGCCACTTGGAATCTTGTGGCCAGCTTCAGTGACGCAGTGTGAGCTGCCCAGGCCACACGTTTATATTCACCCAAATAAACCACAGATGCCTCCCATGTCCAGGGTGGGGAAGATTCATGATGTCCTGCTCTGGGCACACACAGGGCTGGCACTCAATAGACTTCCTGTCCTACTGATAGACCCAGTAAGCCCCAGGGACCAGGGCACACACCTAGGACTTGGATCTAGCTCCTCACATGGGAGAGAGAAAGGGGTGCTCTCGGGGGCAAACGCCCAGGATATGGGAAATGAAAATGGCAGCCTGAAGGAGTGTGTGGGGGTCCCTCACCTCAGAACCACTCGGAACTGGTTGAACACCTCCTGGATCTGTCTGAGGTTGATTATCTGGAGTGAAGACAGCAAGGCTGCAGGCACAGAGGGACCAGGCTGTCTCTGTTAGCAGGGATCGGGGCCCTCTGTCGAGACTGGGACATCTGCACACCACTTCAGCAAAGTGGGCTGAGCCTTCTCAAGAGCAGAGAAGCATCTGATGATAGCTTTCCAACAAAGTATTTGCTGAGGCTATTAAAACCACTTTTCTAAGTAGAGATCTCTAGTTCTTAGAAATACTTTCTAAGATACCAAAATTAAATAGAATCTATTTCATTGGCTCTCTCCTACTCCTAAAAAGTTCAGCCTGCCACCTTCAGATGGACCCCATTTGTGAATCTGTCTGTGTGGGTACAGGCATACACAGCTACAGCTAGAGAAAGATCACTGGCCTCCTTCCCGGCCCTAAAGCCTATAAGTATTGCCCTTGACTGAAGGCTCATGTGCAAGTCCCTGTTAGGAAGGCCTCAGAGCACACATTCCCAGTTGGCCTGAGACTGACTCTCCTGGCTGCTCATGCTAACAGGGAGCAGGGGCGACCCACCGGCTCCTGGTGAGGACTTCGATGGCCTGCACAGAAAAGCACTTTTTATCCTGAGGACCTACCCCTCCTTGCATGCTACTGCCTCCCTCTCCTCAACCCACTCCAACGTGGGCCCTGAGTCTTCTTGCAACCAGCCTGACTTCCATCCTTCAGCAGCTGCACCCCTCCAGGCTGCTGCGAAACCAGCAGTTTCCCTGCACAGGTGAGGATCCTGGGGGCTGAGAGGAGGGTTGGAGGGTTGTTTTGCTAGAGGTCACTCAGCAGGGAGGCAGCTAAGCTGGGATTCCATTGGAATCTGGACTGCCTGAGACAGACCACTTTCTGTACCTCACTGGCCACGTTGCACAACCCGCAGCCCCGTAACCCTGAATTCGGAAGCTGAGACCAGGGTGGCTGAAGGCTCCTGACACCAGGGGCCCAGCACTACCCCACACCCACAGTCCCCACTTAGTGTGAGCTTCCGATCAGCACCACACACACTGGGTGCGCCAGGACGGGGACAGGGAGCCCCAGGCCAGCTGAGCGTGGTGGTCCACAGAGGGCTCCTTACGTCGATCTCGTCCAGGGTCCCTTCCAGGTACCTCCGCACTTGGGAGTTGATCTCAGCGATCTGGATTTCATCCATGGGGTCATAGGTCACCAGAGGGCGGTTGGCCTGGAGGAAGGTGAAGAACGTCTGGTAAGAAGCAGTAGAAGCCCTGAGCCCAGGCAGGAGTGCAGAGGCCACCACGAGCGCCAGATTAGGGGCCGCTCAGCTGCCCAGGAGGCCTCTGTCTGGTTCCCCATCTGGCCCTGGCAGATAGGGCCCTAATCCAGAGGACCTGGGTCCAAGAGGGCAATGGGGTGGGGAGGGAAGGAAAGGCCACTGGACGGGAGGCTCTGCTGGCTGAGTCTGAGCAGACCACAGGGCCCTCGGGAGCAAGACATCACCCCAGGGGGCTCCTGGGGGAATCCCACCCCTTTGCCCTCCCTGATGGCTGCACTGCCACCCCTTTCTGCCGCCCTTCCTGGCCTCAGCTCCTCGTGTCATCTGGCCCTGGCCCCAGGCCCTGCAGTTTCCCCTGCCCTGGCATACCATTCCCCTCCACCCCCCGCGTCTGTCCCATACCAAGCTGTTGTGCAGGGCCAGCTCCTGCTTGAGCAGTGACAGCTCCTTCTCCAGGTTCTTGACCATTCGCTGCCAGGGAAACAAAGGGTGGGGAGGTGAACAGAGAGGTGACTACCTGGTCTTCCTGCTAAAGAGCACTCTCAGCTTCGGGGCCGCGCCCCCCCACTGGCAGTCTTCCCCGAGAGGGAAGTTCAGGGTCTGAGAGGGACTCCGCATTCCCTGGGCTTTGCCTCCTCCCCAGAGGAGAATGGGGACGGAGGCAGCACAGGCCAAGGGGCCACTTCACTAAGCCAGGCCTGGGGACAAGCGCCTATAGTCCTGGCCACTTGGGAGCCTGAGCAGGAGGGTTGTGAGTTGCAGCCAAGCCTGGGTAACACAGGGAGACCCTGGTTCAAAGTAAAAGATAAAAAGGAACAGGGATATAGCTCAATGGTAGAATGCCCCTGGGTTCAATTGCCAGTACAGAGAGAGAGAGAGAGAGAGAGAGAGAGAGAGAGAGAGAGAGAGAGAGAGAAAGGGAGAAAGAAAGGGAGAAAGAAAGAACAGACCCTAATTCCTCCAGGGGCTCCAGGCTCTTCCTAACCTCTCAGAATAATGGCCCTTTCCTTGCAGCCTAAGGGCTCCACAATACTTTTTTGGAAGGAGGTTTGTTTTGAAACAGGGTCTTGCTAAGTTGCCCAGACTGGCTTTAAATTCTCAATCCTCCTGCCTCAGCCTCCCAAGGAACTGGGAGCTCAACCGTGTGCCACGGACTCTAGGACGCTTTCTGTGCACGTCCTTACCCTCACCCTTTCCTCCAGGTACTTGTTAGCATTCTCCAGGAATGATCATATATGGCACCTCTGACTTTTTGCAGCTACAGTGAACATCTTTGTACTCATTTCTCCTTATCCCTAGAGATTTCTGTAGGACACAGTGACCAAGGAGGCTTAGTAACTTGTCCCCATTACCTCCTCTCTAGTGTGCTCCCCTGGCTGACTCCAGTCCCACCAGATTGGTATACTCTTTCCGTGTATGCCTGTCCCTCCTGCCCAGGATGCTGTTCCCCCATTACCACAGCTTATGCCCAAACTTAAAACAGGACCTGGTAGTACACTCTAAACTGGGAGGCTGAGGCAGGAGGATGGCATTTTAGCATATTAGTGAGACCTGTCTAAAAATAAATGAGTAGGGCCGGGGATTTAGCTCAGTGGTTCCGCCTCCTGCCTTGCAAACGCAAGGTCCCGAGTTCGATGCCCAGTACCTAAATAAATAAATAAATAAATAATAAAAATAAAAATAAATGAGTGAATGAATGAATGAATGAATGAACAAAAAATAAATAGGGGGCTGGGGATGTAATTCAGTGTAAAGACCCTGGGTTCAATCTCCAGTACAGCAAAAAGACAAAACAAAAGCTTCTACCTGAGGTATACTACAATCACCCTATCTAAAATTGCAATCCCCTCCCGACCTCTATACCACTTTTTTTTTGCTGGAACTGAGGATCCAACTCAGGACCTTGAGCTTGCAAGGCAGGTGAGGTGCCACTGAGCTAAATCCTGGGCCCACTATACCACTATTTTTAAAAATCTCACTCTAGGGCCCGGGATTTAGCTCAGTGGTTCTGCCGCCTGCCTTGCAAACACAAGGACCTGAGTTCAATCCCCAGTACCAAAACCAAAACAAACAAACAAACAAAATCTCACTCTAATTTTTTCATAGCATGTGTTACCTTCTAACATTCTCTAGACCAGACACATCTAACAGAAATTTTGCATTGATAAAATGAATATCTATGTGGTCCAATATGATGGCCAGGAGCCACATGTAGCTACCAAATACTCAAAATGTGGCTACTGTGGCTGAAGAAATAAATTTTAATTTTCATTAAGTAGCCGTAGTATACACTTGTAATCCCAGCTCTCTGGAGGCTGAGGCAGAAGGATCACCATGAGTTTAAGACCAGCCTGGGCTACATGGCAAGACTCTGTCTCAAAAAAAAAAAAAAAAAAAAAAAAATCATGTAGCAGTTACTGTATTGTTTTTTGGTCTTTTATTTTTTGTAGTCCAGGCTTTAACTCACTGTAGACCCTAGGTTGGCCTTAAACTCATGGCAATCCTTCTACCTCAGCCTTCCAGTGCTAGGATTACAGGTGTGCACCATCCTTGGAAATCTGCCATGTCTGGACAGCTTTTTGTTTGGTGGTAGCAGGGGTTAAACCCTGGGCCTTGTGCATCCTAGGCAAGTACTCTACCACCGAGCTAAGTCTCTAGCCCATCTCTTGTGGTGACAGAAAGCCAACATACACAATATACTCGGAGAAAGATTTGTGTTTCTGTCCACACAGCTACATATCCTGGGTGCTTTGGAAAATGGCTGACCCACGTGCCACAGCTTTAGGTTGGCCACCACTGTTCTAGAGATACTCAGTGTCTTCCATAAAAAGGCACCAGGGACTTCATGCTGAGACACTTCATTGTGAACAATGGAGTGTCCTTTAGTTGTCACAAAACAGCCACTGGAGGGAACCCCTGACACCTAGATCCTGGGACTAGGGCCAAAGCTATGTGCAGTCCACGCCCTGCTGGCCTGTCAGATCAAAGGTCTGCTACCCTCTACCTCTGTCCAGCTGGGTCACCTGGCACCGAGGCTCTCCTGCAGCTATGCCTCACGTAGGGAGGGGTCACCGGCCCCAGGCCAAAGCTCGGGGCTCAGAGTCCGATCAAAGACCAAATCTTGGCTCAGCCCCTTAGGAAGCCCAAATAGGTCTCCTGGAGGTGTGGACTTCCTGTGGGGTTGAGGGGAGAGGCCAGGCCATCCCCACCCTCCTCCTCCCCCTCCCAGCTCTAGAAAGCACATCCTGCCCCAGGGCAGGGAACCCAGCTGAGCCTTCAAGGGCCTCTGCCTGGGTGACTCTGACATCCAAGCCCATCAGAGGGCAACGTGGGGAAATGGAGGGGCACAGACTCCAGTTCACAGCAGGTGAGCGTGGCAGCCACTTCCCCAGATGCCTGGCAGGTGTCACAGCCTGGAAACAGAGCCACAGGTCACTGGCAGGTGGCCCTTCTGGCTGATGGGCTCCTTGATTCAATCAGGAGCATTCTCTGGCTAGAAAAACACCTTGCAAACACCACAGACTCACATATCTTCTCTGGCTGCCAGGGTTTTCTTCATATGTGTAATGAGGATCATTCAGAGTTCTGCCTCAGGCCTATACCAGGCTGCATAGGCACCCTTGCCTCGGGCACTTTCCTCAGCCCGAAGGCCTGCTTTATCCTGGCAGACTGGGACACACTGAGCAAGGCTGCTGTCTGTATGCCTGACAGGCTCAGAGGCTCGGATCCCTTCCACCACCTCAGGGATCAGCTGCAGAGCACAAGGGTCACCAGAAATCAGGGGTCCAAGCCCCGTGTTCACCAATAAAGTCTCCGAGGCTCAGACAGTCTGAAAACTCACCACAGAGGCTGGAGGCAGAGGGGGACCTGAGCCCAGTCCCCCACCGTACAACCAGCCCCCCACTGCCTAGGGGAACCTACAGCAGCTCTGCTGCTCCCTGAAAACAGGCATTGGCACTGAGATGGCTGCAATGACCCAGGAATACCAGCCACAGACTAGGAAGACAGCACCAACATAACTTCCCATCTCTCTCTCTCTCTCTCTCCAGACCTTGTGTTCATAGAGCAAAATGCTTATCAGAAAGATGATAAACACATTCCCATCAGATGATGGGGAGACCAGCAATGCAGGTTTCGGAACAGAAATGGCATTACAGTAAATGGAAGACCTTGGCATCAGGTGCAGCGTTCACCCAGCAAGGTTCGTGTGTGCTAATGTGACAGTCCTGAGCCAGGGAACACAACTAATGAAACAAAGTGGGCATGGTGTCGCACGCTGGAATCCCGGTACCTGGGAGTTCACAGCCAGCCTGGACTACATAGCGAGACCCTGTCCCAACAAACAAAAACCAGATAAATGAAGTGGCCCTCTGCTTTGTAGACAGGGCTCTAGCTAATATTTATTCAATACTTACTCCGGGACAGTGATGTGCTCAGAGGTTTCTACACATGAAAACTTTCTTCACAAAAAACCCCCATGGGTGGATTCAGTTAATTCTCCAATTTATCAGTGAAGAAACAAGTTCAATTTTTCCAAGGCTACACAGTTATTGAGCAGGCTCTTGAACCCAGTGCAGGGCTCTTCAGCACTGTGCCAGTGGATCTCAAAGTGGGGCTCCCAGAGCAGCAGCTATAATAGCATCACCACCTGGGAATCTGTGGAGAACGAACGTCCTCCAGCCACCCAGGACAGACAAGTCAGAAACTCTGAGAACGGCCCCCGGTGGTGCTGATGCCAGCTCAAGTTTGGGAAGCACTGTTCTCAGCACCAGTCCCTCAAACCCTAGGTTAGTTCCACAGAGCTATGTGTCTGTGTTTTCCTTCAGGATTTCGGATCTGAAGAGTTTAGCTCTCAGTCATGAGCTTAGGGCTCAGGAAGGAGGATGGTTGCAAGTTCAAGGCCAGCCTGGGCTACATAGTGAGACCGTCTCAAAACAAAACAAAATAAAACACAACACAATACCAGTCAGCTCTGAGGAAATCTCACGGAGAAGCCCAGGGCTCAGAGTTCCTGGGCCCTACAGGTCACGTGGGTGACAGACAAACCCAGCCCTCCCACCACTGTGGTGGCCCCTAAGGGACTGTCTCCAGGGACTCTACAGCCCCTCCCTGTCCCAGTATAAAGAGGGACTGAGCCAGGGCCAAGAGGCGGACCGGGCCGTGGGGGTTCCTTCCTGCCTAGGAACACATCACCCCATGGAGCAGCGGCTGCCCACAGCCCCGGAGTACCTCGGCATCGTACTTTTCATTGATGGCAGGCTCAGTCGTGACCAGCTTCATCCTGCTGGCAAAGCGTAGCGAAGACAGCTGGAAAACAAACTGGATGTCAGGGGGCTCCCCACTCAAGTGAGGCCCCAGGAGACAGAGACCCTGGCTGCTGCTCCTGGGTCTTCAGGATGCCTGTCAAACGGTGTGGTTCATGGGTTCAATCCCCGATACCAAAAGCTAAACATAAATAAAAACAGGCTCTTGGCAGTGAGATCCCCACCAGGGAGGCAGGACACGAACAGAGGGGCACTCCCTGGTCCTTGCTGGCACACTGTGAGGATCTGCACCGGGCTATCTCTTCATCGAAACCTGAGCCTCTCCACTTCTGGGCCTGTGATCCAGGCTCCCCTTCCTCTCCCCAACCCTGTCTGCCTCCCTACTTTCCACTTTCTCCCAAGGCCCAGCTGAATGTGGCTTCCAGCCGAAGCCCTTGCTCTCCACATGAGAGGTCTCTGCCCTTTCAGGAGGTAGCCCTGACCTCCATGGACTTACTTCTCTGGGTCTGGATCAGCGATGTCCAATAGAAAGGTAATGCGAACCACACATGCAAGTCATACACGTGTACATATACATAATGTACACATGAACATGTACTTGTACACATGTGTGTGCATGTGGTACTAGGGATTGAACCCAGACCCTCACATATGCTAGGCAAGCACTCTGCCACCAAACTGCAACTCCACCTTTTAAAAAAAATTTTATTTTGAAACAGGGTCTCTCTAAATTGTCCACACTGGCCTCAAACTTGGGGTTCCTCCTGCCTCAGCCTCCTGAGTAGCTGGGATTATAAGCATGCACCACTGTGCTCACCTTTGTATATGAAATTTTAAATTTTTTAAATTTTGAGGCCAGGGATTTAGCTCAGTGGTTCCACCACCTGCCTCGCAAGTGCAAGGTCCCAAGTTCAATCCCAGGTACCAAAAAAAAAGTTTTGTTTCTTCCTTCCTTCCTTATTTTCTTTTTCCAATCCTGGGGATTGAATCAAGAGGCGCTCTACCACTGAGCTAAAATCCCAGCCCTCTTCTGAGACAGGGTCTTGCTAAATTGCCCAGGCTGATCTCAAATGTGTAATCCTTCTGCCTCAGATTCCTGAGTAGCTGGGATTACAAGCATATACCATCACATCCAGCCTCTTTCTTTTTGCTTGCTCCCTCCCTCCCTCCCTTCCTCCCTTCCTCCCTCTCTTTCTTTCTTTTTCTTTATTTCATTCTTTCTTATGTTTCCCAGGCTAGTCTGAAATTCTTGAATTCAAGTGATCCTCCTGCCTCAGCCTCCTAACTGCTTGTTATTATACCCACATGCCTCCACACCTGGCTTTAGTTTTAAATTTTCTAATAGCTATATTAGAATAGGTAAAAAGAAGCAAGAAAAATAGTATTAATATATCTTATTTAAACATTAGTCTAATACTGTATGCCCAAAATATTATGATTTCAACATGTAATCAATATTCTAAAATTATTGAGATATCCCTTTTTTAAAGTTGGTGTTTGAAATCTGGTATTTTAAACCTATACAATATCTCAATTTGGCCCCACCACTGTGCCATATGCAAGCACACCTGCAATTCCAGTACTCAGAGGCTGAGGCAGGAGGATCAAGTTTGAGCCCAGCTTGGGCAACTTAGTGAGCCCCTGTCTCAAAATAAAAAAGGGCTGGGGGTGTAGCTCACTGTCAGCGAAGAGGAAGCAGCCTTGGAAGTGGGGGGGTTGCCCTCCCATGACCTGAGGAAGGACCAAGAGGGCTTCTATGCGCCAGTCTGGTCTGGTGGCTAAGAACTGCCGCTGGCCACTGGGGTGACCTTGGACAGATCTCACCACTTAGGTGAAAGGAGAGCTGTTGGGTGTGCTGGCGCACAGACACGAGGACACTTCCTGTGCTGCGCCCTCTCAGGGGCCTGCGAGAAGGGGAGCGAGTGGGCCCCCGCTGTCTTGGAAGGCATCCCTATTGTGGAGGTGGTGATATGTAGATCAGGCTGGCCTCAAACTTGCAGTGACCTTCCTGCCTCAGCCTTCCCAGGAGAGAGTGGTGGTGTTTGTGTTGATGGATAATATGGAGAATATAGATAGTGTGAGTATAATGTAGATTAGAAGGTTTAGGTATATAATTGAAGGATTGAAACATATTACTGAGATTACAGGTGTTGCCACCCTGCCAGGCTTCTCCCTTGTACCACCGTAACTCATTTCTACCGACTTGCTCCCCCTCTACCCCTGGGCACAGGGCAGATGGATAACAGCTGTCTGCTCAGACCAGCCTCAGAATCGCAGCCTGGAGCCTGTGGTGCTTCTGAGCCCTGCACATGTTGGGCAAGTGCTTTGCCACTAACCTGCACCCCCAGCCCAATTATGTGTGATTATAAAAAGCAAGCAGTAGACGCCTCGGTTCCAGCTCCTAAGCACAGGCCCCAGGAAGCAGCTTCCTTGTCCCCAAGCTGGCCCTGCTTGCTGGTCCCCCCCGCCCAGCCTGCCTCTTTCTTCCTCAGCACAAGCTGGAGTTTGGTGTTGGATCCTGGCTTGAACCCCTCGGCATCTGTGGCTCCAGCACAGCCCTGGGCCCTTGGCAGACGCCGGCCCCCAGGAGGGGCTCCAGTCGGCTCTACTGGCCGGCGCTACCCACCGTCTCCTCCAGCTGGGCAGCTTCTCCGTAGATGTTAGTAATGAGCACCATATTGCAGTTTCCCCCTGCGAAGAGAGACGCAGAGGGCGTGAACCATGTGGGGCTTTGCCAGAGACTCCCTCGGGGCCCCTGGGGCTCTGCCATGGGCTGAATGTCTAGATCCACATGCCAAGGCTGTACCCCAAAGTTCCCCTCCAAACACCCTGGGAGTGCACTCAGAGCCGAAGCCTCTCGAGGTCCCAAGTGAAGCCCCAAGGACGGGGTCATGTCCTTCCACGGAAGCAGACAGGGGCCTCTCCTGCTCTCCCTGTGGGGCACAGCCAGAGGCAGCCTGTGCAGGCCAGGAACATGGCCCTTTCCAGGAGCCCAACCTGCTCGCACCTCAACTCGCATTCCCAGCCTTCAGGACAGAGCAATGGGCACGACTGCTGTCCAGTCGGCCCCGTCTATGGCGCTCACTGACAAAGTCAGAGACTAGAGGACAACCCCAGCCTACATGAGGCTGGGAGCGAGGGGAAGAGAGAAGGAGGGACAGAAGCCACCTGGTGTTCCTAAAAGTGGAGCCAGGAGAGGACAGCAGAGGAGGACAGTGAGAGCTGGGGTGTGGGAGGGCCAGGAAAGAGGGTATGAGCCAGGGCTTTGCTCATGGTGTCACTAAGTCACGCAGCTAACAGCCAGAAACCAGCCACTATGTCAACATGCCCGACACAAATGCCTGGGGACGTGGGATGACAAGACACAGCCCCTGCTGCTCTGGGCAGGAGGCTGAAAGAGAAAGGGTAGGGGTGCTGGGCACGGTGGAATACACCTGTAATTGCAGCACTCGGGAGGCTGAGGCAGGAGGATCACTGCAAGTTTGAGACCAGCCTGGGCTACGTAGTGAGTTTCAGGCCAGCCTGAACTACATAGCAAGACCCAGTCTCAAAACATAAATAAATAAATAAATGAGGAAGGGAGAACATGATGGGCGAGCCTGTCCCATCGCTGGTCTAGGCTGTGAAGGATCCTGCAGGCTGGGTTAGGGACAGGAAAGAGAAGGTTTCCCGGCAGGGACTGAAAGCAGAAGGAAAGGCTCTGAGGAGTGAACAACAGTGTGGCCCTGGGTGCAAGAAGGGGGCTGGAGAAGTCACTGTGCTGGGGCTGTGTCCTCCTCACCCAAGGGAGACAGCGACTCTGATCGCTGACCCAGGCCCGGCCTCCCCACACCACTCCCCCTGGCACTCGCTGCCCCCTCACCCAGCGAGTCCTTCAGGGCGTGGGTGAGTTTGCACTGGCGGAAAGGGATGTGGTCCCGCTTCTGGTCCCCAAGGGCGATGATGGCCTGCTCCAGGAACGACAGCGACTTGTTGATGTAGGTGGCTTCCTTCAGGACGTGGCCCTCCGACTGCAAATCAAAGGTCAGTCCCACCTGGGGCGGAGGGAGCAGCTTCCCCACTAATAGCGGCCGCCTCCTGATGTGGGTCTACAACACCGACCAGCGCTCTGGCCCAGAACCAGGGTCTTCCTGCAAGTCCTGGGGTCGTGGTCTATCATGGTTAATAATGGTAACACCAAGCCTCGAACACGCCCGTGATCCCAGTCCTCAGGAGACTGAGAGGGGATCACCAGGAGTTCAAGGCCAACCTGGGCTACACAGTGAGCCCAAGCCAGCCTGAACTACATACCAAGATCCTGTCTCAAAAAAGAAAACAAAACAATGGTAACACTAGAACTGAAAAGAACACTCACGTGAACACTTGTGGAAACACTCACATGAATACAAATACTTCTGTGGACATTCATAGGAACCCTCATTCAAAGATTCACACTGATATAAACGCGTGTGAGAGCACTTGCACAGAGAGCTGAGCAAGTAACCTTGTGCCTGTTCTCTCTCTCTCTCTCTCTCTCTCTCTCTCTCTCTCACACACACACACACACACACACACACACACACACACGCCGGTGCTCACCTGAATCCTCTGTGGATGCCTGTGCTGACACACACTTACACAATTACTTATTTGAAAGGGAATCCTCATGCAGATACTCATATTCATGGACAGAGAACAGCTACGCAGCCTGGAGTATTTACTGAGCACCTTGCTAAGAATTTAGGAGGCATCGGTCATTTAATGTAGAGGAACATCTGCAGGAATGGCAGTGCCCTGCAGCTGCCGGCCCTCCTCCGCTGTCTCTGTGCCTCCGAAAGCCACACGCTCCACTTGGCCCCCTCACAAGCACTGCGCCGCACTCAGGGCCGCGGCCAGGCCAGCAGCCTGCTCACCCCTGACTTCCCCAGCCTCTCGGAGCCTGCCAGGTCCACCAAGTTGATTTTGGAAGTGATGTACTTCTCATCCGATAGGGTCCGGGAGTGCGCCTAGAAAACAGCCGGGCGGGTGTGGTCTCGGGTCACGGGTCGGGGCTTGACTGGGTGATCCCCCCACCAAGACGCCCGAGGCTCCACCCACCTCCACGTAGATGGTGAAGATGCAGTGTGACCTGGATGAGTTTTTGTTCAAGGTGTGGGAGGCTATGATCCTGTTGGTTTCTCCCTGAAGAAGGGAAATGGATGCAGCATTTTGACAAATTAAAGTAGCAAAGCATTTGGATCATGTTTCATTGGCTCATTTATTTAAAGTATTTCTTTATTTCTGAGATACTGGGGATTGAACCCAGGGCCTTTGCACTGAGCTGTATCCCCAGAACTTTCTTAGTTTTCATTTTGAGACAAGGTCTTGTTAAATTGCCCAGCCTGGGCTCTGCCTCCCAGAGTGCTGGGATTACAAATGTGTCCCATCAGGGCCAGGGATTTAACTCAGCGGTGCCTCCGCCTGCCTCTCAAGGTCCTGAGTTTGATCCCTGTACCAAAAAACAAACAAACAAGTGTGTCCCACCATGCCTGGCTGGCCTAGAATTTTTTATCCTCCTGCCTCAGCCTTCTGAGCTGAACTTACAGAAATGTGCCGCTCTATCCAAGTATAATATTCTTTTTGCAATAGTCAGGCAGTTATGCTACTGCCAACATTATCAATTCTCCCATAATGGACAAGTTACCTAATTTTTCTTAAAAATGGAACGCTTTTGTTTCTATTAGGATAATCTGGCATTTTAATTCATTTTTTTTTCAGACAGAGTCTCACTACATAGTTCAAGGCTGGCCTCAAACTGAGAGTCATCCTTCTGCCTCAGCCTGAGCACTAATAATTCATAAATTTTAAATAACTTTAATTATAGTATATTATTATTGTTGTTCTATTTTATTATTAATCACTGTTACTAACACTAACCAGATTCTATACCTGGTAAGTTAAACATTATCACAGGTATATGTACATGGAAAAAACCTAGTGTATATAGAGTTCAGTTGTATCTGGTGTTTCAGGCATGTGCTGGGGATCTTCAAACATAGCCCCCTGGCTAAGTGGGGGCCATTTTACAATGTAAGGAAATGTAGGGAAAATAAGTAATTTGTATTTTTAAAGGGGCAGTAGGCCCTTGTCTTTAATTTACAGGTTGGACCCTATAACCGGAATACACTGAAAAGCAAATGTGGTAGAAATGCTGTTCGGGGAGAAACCAGTCCTTGTGGAGTGGACTCCTGTCTCCTAAAAAGCCCCATGGGATGCTAGGAACAAGCCCCAGAGCAGGGACATCTTTGTCCCCTGGGGAGAGGGGCTCCCCTGCTGAGGAGCAAGCTAGTGGGTCCCCATGGCTACGTCTCTAGTGCTGCTGCTGTCTCCCTTTTGTACAAATCCAGTGATGACTTCCATGAGTGTGAGGGTTCAGTTCATCTTTATTCTTGTTTCTTTTGGTTTTGGTTTGGTTTTTTTTGAGACGGGGTCTCACTGTGTGGCTCAGGTTAGCCTCAAACTCACGATGTTACCTGCACGCTGTCCCTGCCCTGGCCCACATCAGGGAGTGCTCATCACCCTGGGACAGGGCTTGTGGTGGGCTGCTGCTGCTGCAGCTTTGCCCACACCCTTCCCCGCCCCACCTCACATCAGTCCTTGAACCACTGAAGTTCAGCAAGGACACAGTGCCGGAAGCCATCGGGTGTGAGGAATTATTGCTGTTCGCAAAGCACCTAAATACAACGAGCCCTTGAGTAAGAAACCCATGCTTCCAATCAGCATCCACGGGGCACTGACTGTGCAGATCCTGGAGCTGGGGCCCAGGGCTCCTGGCCCTGCTTCTTCTGACAGCCTTCTGGGGCCAGCACAAGTGGTGTCTCCACTTTTACAGACAAACACAATGGGACTAGGATGAAACCTGGATTTGAGCCCAGGCCCCCTAATTCTAAATCCTAAACTTTTTATCCTGTATTTCAGCCCCAAACAGGAGAGAGACTCTCATTTTCTGCAACAGAATGGCCTATTCTGAGACCCTCGCCCCCCCCCAGAACAGCTGAAGTGAAGGGCAGGATGCTTAGAGCTACCTTTTTAATGGATGCCTGAGATTGCAAGAAAGTAAAGGGGCCAGGTACTGTGGTACACGCCTGTGATCCCAGCACTGGGGAGGCTGAGGCAGGAGGATTGCAGTAAGTTCAAGGCCAACCTGGGCTACATAGCAAGACCCTGTCTCAAAAAACAAAGTAAAGAGGCCAGATGCAAAGTAGAAGCCCTAATCCAGGATTGCACCAAGAACCAGGGCTCTTCCTTTCCAGAAAGTGCCTGCAGCCTGGTGTGCCCAGTAAGGAACTGGAAGTGCCATAAAGATGCCCTCTCTTTGCTCTTCACATTCAAAGTCGGGAGACCGGCACCACCTGACTCCTCCACCCTGGCTGCTAATCCACCAAGCCTTCAGTTCCTACTCAACAGGTGATAAACTCTTTCTCCCTAGAGCCAGCTGTTTACGTTCCTCCCCTTGTTTTCCAAGAGAGGATGAAAGCAGGCTGGGATATAGCTCAGTGGTAGAAGCCAGGCTGAGCATCAGTGAGAGCCAGGGTTCAATCCTCAGCACCAAAATAAAAACAAACAAACAAAACAACAGCAGCAGCAACAAAAAACAAGGCCTGCTGTAGTGCATGCCTGTAATCCCAGCCCTTATGGAAGCTGAGGCAGGAGGATCACAAGTTAGCAAGAGCCTGATTCAAAATGAAACATAAACAAAGACCTGGGATGGAGCTCCGTGGTAGAGCACCCTGGGTTCAGCCCCCAGTACCTCAGACAAAGCAAAACCTTCTTCTGGGGCCGGGGATTTAGTTCAGTGGTTTTGCTGCCTGCTGCACAAGTACAAGGACCCGAGTTCGATCCCTGGTACGGGGCGGGGGGCCGGGGGGGGGGACCCTTCTTCCCTTCTTCCCTTCTTCCCTTCTTCTGGCCTTGACCTCACTCATTTTGTTTTGATTTGTTTTGTTTCTCAGTGCCTGGGGAATGAACCCAGGGCCTGCTCTGCTAGGCAAGTGCACTACTGCTAGTTCATGCCCAGCCCAGCTGCAACCTCTGACTGCCAGTCGCTTCCGTGGCAGGGATGTTCCTATTGTAACCCTCTGCTACTCCCGGTAAACGGCCTTCTTTAGAGCTTCTCTTTCTAATTCTTTGGGTTTTCCCACAGACTCACAAAGGGAACCAAAAAACAATATATAAGTTTATTGACCAAAAAATTTTTTTTTCTTTTTTGCATTGCTGGGGATTAAAACTAGGGCCCTGCACATGTTAGGCAACACTCTACCACTGAGTTACACTTCCAATCCCTAGTAAACAAATTTAAAATACTGTAGTATGAAGGCTGGGCGTGGTAGCACACACCTGTAATCCCAGCACTTGGGAGGCTGAGGCAGGAGGATTGCTGCAATTTCAAGGCCAGCCTGGGCTACATCAGACCCTGTCTCAAAAAAATATATATGAAATAGCATGAAATGTTTAATTTTCATCAGCTTCAAGGTTCCTATTACTCCCAAACTTCGCGTATAACTAAACTTTCAAATCGGCTCACACCGAATTGTTTTATTCTGGATTTTTAAGGTGTTAATTTCTTCTTGAGAATTTTTCCTAATACATCCTCAGATAAAATGGAATTTTTGGAACTGGGCATGGTGGTACACACCTGTGATCCCCGCACTCTGGGGGGCTGAGGCAGGAGGCCAGCTTGGGTAATTTAGGGAGATCTGTCTCCCTAAGGCTGGGGTCACAGCCCAGTGTGAAGGCCCTGGGTTTAATCCCCAAGCCCATGAATAATAATAACAAAATAGAATAAAGTAAATTTAAAAATTAAAAAGCTCTCCCAAATCAATCAAGTGTATTTTCCTCTTTTAACAATCATATAGTCCTGGACACTTGTCCATTTCTGGTGAGACTAAAATGATGCAGCTCCTTGGATGGTTTTCTATTAAGCACAGGACCCAGCAACTCTCTTCCTAGGTGTCTACCCAAGAGAAACAAAAGCATATGTAACACAAAGACTTGTATGCAGATATTCATAGCAGCATTATTCTTTTGTTTGGTTTTGTTGGTTTTTCTTTTTTTTTCTTCTCTCTCTCTATCCTTTTTTTTGAGACAGGGTCTCACTATGCAGTTCAGTCTGGCTATGTAGTCCAGGTTGGCCTGGAACTTGGAATGATCCTCCTGCTTCAGCCTCCCAAATGCTGAGATTACAGATGTGCACCACCATACCTGGCAGCAGCATTATTCATCATAGTCAAGACTGGAAATAACCAAAATACTTGTCTGGTGGTAAATGGACAAACACAATATAGTACATTCATACAATGGAAAACTAGCGATAAAAAGAAAAGTAGTGCTGATATATACTACAAGCTGCAGATAGGCTAAGGGAGTCAGTCACAAAAGCCCACGCATAGAAAATGTTCATGACCATCACAGGTGCCCAGACAGAAAGCAAGGCAGTGGTTGACTTGGGGAAGGGGCAGGAAGTGACTGAAAATGGGCCCAGGGAACTACTCTTGGGGATGAAGCAGGTGTGTGTGTGTGTGTGTGTGTGTGTGTGTGTGTGTGAGAGAGAGAGAGAGAGAGAGAGAGAGAGAGAGAGAGAGAGAGAGAGAAGTACTGGGCCTTTGCACTGACCTCCATCCTCAGGCCATTTAAAACAATTTTTAATTTGAGACAAGGTCTTGCTAAATCAACTAAATTGCACAGCCTGGGTTCAAAGTTGTGATCCTCCTGCCTTGGCCTCCCAGAGTGCCAGATTACAGGGGTGTTGTCATCATGCCCTGCTTGAAGGAGCATTTCTAAAATGGAATCGTGCTGATGGTTGTACAATTCTGTACATTTACTAAAAATCATTGAATTGCATACTTAAAACAGCAGATTTTACAGTATCTAAATGATAATAAAATTGCCTTTCAAGACAAATCTGTCTTATTATCATTTAAATGCCATAAAACCTATTGTCTAGGAAAGAAAATATACTAAAATATACATTATTGTTGCCTTAAGTAAAAAATTGTTTGTTTGTTTTGGTACCGGGGATCGAACTCAGGACCTCGTGCTTACAAGGCAGGTGGTGGAATCACTGAGCTAAATACCCGGCCCCTGTAAAAAGTAGTTTATGAGTAAAATCTTTTTGTTCACAATTTTTTCAAAGCCATCATTTTTGGGGGTTTCAGGGGGTTTTTGTCTTTTTTTTTTTTTTTTAAACAAGGTCTCACTATGTAGTTCAGGCTGGTCTTGAACTCTTGGTGATCCTCCTGCCTCAGCCTCCTGAGTGCTGGGATTACAGGCGTGCACCTCCATGCTGGCTTTTGGTTATATCTAAACTTACTAAATGAGCACATTTCTTTATTCTGATGATCAAAGTAAGATCCTAAGGTAGGAGGGGAGGGAAAGGGAGGGACAGGGATCCCAGGGCAGGCCAGGCCAGGAAGTCTTTGACTCGGTCATCTCACCTCAAAGAGGAGGCTGAAGGCGTCCTCCTCCTGGCTGGTGAGGTGGACTGACAGGCCCTTAATGAAGATGCCCTGGGGGTTTTCCACAATGGTCATTGGTGTGACGGAGGGGCCCACGTAGGGCAGAGTGGACAGGAGATCAAATAGGCTCTCGTTGTAGATTTCCAGGTAGGAGACTCGCACGGTGATGGCGTGTGTGGGGCGCTCCTTGATCATCCTGAAGACCTAGGCAGGAGGTGGACAGTGGTCACCACACAGGACTGAACAGGCAGCCAGTGTTGGGGGTCTTCTGACCCCAGGGGGAGCATCCGGAAGTATAAGGTAAGTCTTGCTCTCCGGAACTTGCAGTCTGGTGGTACAATGCTTGTCATCAACAACAATTATTTTTACTAGTTCACTGGGTGCTATTAATTATCATCTTATATATATATTTTTGGCCTGGAACTCTCTGTGATCCTCCTGCAGGCTCACACCACCACACCCGGCTTATAATATGAACAGTAATTTCACCTTTTATTTTACTTTTTAAATTGTGGCTACTAGAAAACTCAGTATTGTGTATGTGACTTACTTGTTATTTCAATTAGGTGCCATAGAGCTAAACTATTACAGTCAAAGATGCTGAGATACTGAAGTATTCACAGTGGGAAATCACGGATTTGGGTTCAGAAACTAGAGCACAGAGGACTGATGTACTAGAAGGTTGTCCACGCTTCTGTCCAAACCACAGACGCTTTCGGGGAAAGGCTGTTTGCCTCCTGCCTCCAACCAGAGCCCTCACAGATCCTGGGCTTGAGACCCCTACGGGAGGCCTTCTGTTGTCTCCAGTCACACTTCCCAGGCCATGGGTGACTCGGTCCTAGCTCAGGTCATGCCTGCTTTCCTGCCTTTGGTGTATTATAATTTATTTATTTATTTTGCTGGACTGGGGTTAAACCCAGGCCCTTTGCATTGAGCTAATTAGTTTTTTAAATTTTGAAACAGTGTCTTGCAAAGTCACTATGATCCCTGTGCCTCACCTCCCAGACTGCGGGGGAATACAGTATGCTGTACCACACCCAGCTTGCCTTTGCTTTTTCAGGAGCTGTGGAGTGGAAGAAGCCAGAGCAGGCCTATATTCTACTCATTAAAACCAGGAAGGAACAAGATTAGGAATTCCAAATCCTTAATTTATAGGATCACAGACCATAGAGGAACAGGAGGCCAATTAGCCTGTCTACCCCCTTTTCTGTAAATGAGGGAACAGCTGAGCATGGGTGTGGGCCTATCTGCAGCCTGAACCCCTAGTTTCCGGAGGCCTTGTCCCACCCCACTGCCAGCCACGTGTCCTGTCTTGGGCACTGGTACCAGTCCTGGCTGCAGCTCCTTTGAGCAGCAGGTACCACATAGTGGACCTGTGTGGCTTCCCACCCATGAGCCCGCTCTACCTGCTGCAGGGCGCGGGGCAGAATCCCCCGGTGCTTGTAATTCTCAGATGCCCCTGTCATGGTATATGTCTTGCCAGCTCCCGTCTGCCCGTAGCACATGATGGTGCCTGCAAACATTTCAAAACACATCTCGGTGACATCCAGGAAAACCATACTAAGGACACCTCTCCCAGCACACCTGTGCCAGCCAGGACCACGGCGTGAAGGCCGCCAGTGACATGAGAAATTCCACCTCGGAGTATCATGGGTAAGCAAGGGGACAGGGACATGAAGAGTCAAGATGTGCACATCTGCCCTGAATCAGCAGTCCACCCTGCTCTCCTGCGCCCCAGACCAAAAGCAATCTGGTCCCAGGGCTTCTGAGAACAGGACTCTCAGGGGACGGAGGAGCTGAAGACAAAAGCATTAGACTCCAGACCTTCACTAGCATGGCCAGGAACTGCCTGGGTCTCAGGGCTGGCAGGAGCCATCAACCTGCCCACACAGGCAAGAGGGCTTTGCAGTCTCAAGGAGAGATGGAGCAGGAGTGGCACTTCCTGCCATACTGAGAGTGCTCTGTAGACTGGAAATGCCCACAGGACCAAGAAGGGCTCCTAGTGGGTCCTGTGCCACTTCCAGAAATGGACCACTCTGGGAGGCTTTCATCTGTGCTTCTGCTCTGCTTCAAGTCGCCACCAGGCTCCAGGACACAAAGCATGCAGTCACCCAAGCTCCCGTCTGCACTTCCTCTTGGCCCAGAGCTGGACCCCATTCTGAAGGTGCTTCTGGGTGTTGAGATGGTGGACCTGCCAGGGCAACCTGGGGCTGTGGAAATCGGTGTTTGCATGCAGGTGCTCTCATTCCTGGGATTCAGCGTGAGAGATGGAGCCAGGGACTGGCTAAGAGCCCAGTGTAAGCAAGCAGGAAGGAGACTTGGAGACTCCGAGCCCTTCGTGGTTCCACAGCACAAGGCCCAAGACTCAAGCTCCTGGGCCCCAGTTCCTCTGTCTCCACCTCCTGGGTCACAAGTGCTCAGAGTGTCATGAACTCCCGTGGGATATCCTACAGTCAGTGGGCCACACGTGTGTCCCATGCGGGATAAATTACAATGTTTGGGCATCTGCATTCAGCAGACTTTTAAAATAGAAAACCTAAAACTTACAAAATTGGGGCTGGGAGGGTAATTTAGTTGTAAAGCACTTACTTAGCATTTGCAGGGTCTTGGGTCTGATTCCAGTACCAGAAACAACAACCAAAAATCGTGCAAAACAAGAAACATTCTAGTCAGCAGCCACCACATGGCAGGATGGAAAAACTGTGACTTTTAAATACCTTATATATATATATTTTTGAGACAGTCTATGTAGTTGAGGCTGGACTTAAACTCACTGTGTAGCCCAGGCTCACCTCAAATTCATGGCGATCCTCCTGCCTCGGCCTCCTAACTGGTAGGATTACAGGTGTGCATCACCATGCCCAGCTTATATTTATTTTTTTAAGGAGTATTTGGGATTTTTTTGGCAGTCCTAGGGATGGAACCCAGAGGTCATGCATGTGCTCTAAAACTAAGCTGCACACCCAGCCCCGTTTTTTAAGATTTTAAAGTAATCTTACGATTTCCAAGTTTGTAAAACTTTCCCAGTAAAGGTTTGTTTTCTGTTTTTTTTTTTTTTTTCTTGGCATAATGGAGTACACCTGTAATCCCAGAACTTCCGTAATCCCAGTATCGCAGAGAATCACAAGACTGAGCCCAGCCTGGACAACTTAACAACTTAGCAACTTCCTGTCTCAAAAGGACAAAAATTAAAATTAAAAAAGGGCTTGGATGTGGCTCAGTGTGAAGGCCCTGGGTTCAATCCCCTGGGCCACAAAAATAAAGAAAGAAAGAGACATAATAAATAAGTAAGTAAATAAATAAATAAATAAAGCCTTTTAGGCTCTTGTTAGGAAAAACACTGCTCAAGTTTTTAGCGACAGTGTAAAAAATCCTATACTAGAATATGAACAGTACAGTGTGTACTAATAAATGTAAAGTTTCTTAGGTAGCTGAGAAATATTTGAATTTCATCAACTCTACCATAGACATATCTTCAAAATATTTGAGAAATTTGAAACAATAGTTGAATCCCTGTGACCTATAAAAAGCCAGGTCTCTCTCTCTCTTTCAGTCTCTGTCTCTTTTTCTCCTGTACTGGGTGTTGAATCCGGGGCCTTGCTCATGTTAGGCAAGTGCTCTACCACTGACCTACACTGCTGGCCCTTTTTATATTCTATTTTGAGACAGTCTCATTAAATTTTCCTCGACTGGAAAATTTGTGATCCTCTTGCCTCATCCTCCTGTGTAGCTGGGACTGAGCCATGTGTCACCATATCTGGCCAAAGCCAGGGTCTTTTAATTATCCTAGGAAGGCAGGACCCAGGACATGGGATCAAGCTATCACCAAGCAGCAGTAAGATTTCTACCATAATAACATGGAGACAAATAAGCATACAAATGCTAGCAAGTGGGGTTATATTTTATTTTATTCACTATAAAACACTCGTACTGTACCTCTTCCTCCAGGAAGGGCCGCCTAGGCTCTTAGGAAAGATAACAGTTAATTAGCTAAATTACCATTGTAGCCATCCAGGGCCTGAGAAACCACATCCTTTGCAACTGTCTCATAAACCAAGTCCTGGGAGGCATCATGGAGAACTCCATCCAGCTTGAAGGACCAGTCTGTCTGCTGGTTATTGACAACTCCTCGCCGAGTGTCTTTTTTTAAGTGAATATCAATGCTCTACAAAAAAAGAGAAAAGAAAAGTCACTTGTGAGGAAAGTGGTGCAAAAAAAAAAAAAAAGAAAAGAAAAAGAAAATCACTGACAGCTTGGTGTGGTTGCACACACCTGTCATCTTAGCACTTGGGAGGCTGAGGCAGGAGGATTGCCAAGAGTTTTGAGGCCAGCTTGGGCTACATAGTGAGTTCAAGGTCAGCCTGACTACACAGTGAGACCCTGTCTCAAAAAAAAAAAAAAATCACTGATAGCTGAGTCCTGAATTGAAGAAAATAGAGGAAGTGAGCTCTAGGGTGAACAGGGATTCTGCATATCCGCTGATATTCTGGATGAATTCCTTGGAATGGGAGAAAGAAGCTCCTGCAGGGAGGCCACACAACCCTGTGGCAGCAAAATCAGCAGACTGGAGAGTTTACACGTTCACTGTTTGGTCAGGTACATTCATCATGCTTGTTGCTTATTTGTTGGGTTTCTTGTGGTGGTGGTGGTGGTGGCTGTGTTTTGAGATGGGGGTCTCACTATACAGTTCAGGCTGGTTTTGAACTTTCGATCCTCTTCCCTCAGCCTCCTGAAGGCTGGGATTCTAGGCGTGCACCACCATACCTGACTTCGTGTTCTTAGAAAGCAAGGCTTAGCTACACCTGTGAAGTACAGCAAGCCCTTGGATTAGCTGAGAGGGAGCAGCAAGGCTTGAGTTAGTTACAGGCAGGGGCTGACAGCAGGGACCCCCTCTGCTGTGCACTGTGCAGGCCCTGGGCCAGTGTTGAGTTGTGACGAACAGCACCAAAAGGCTCTGGGCTTCTCAGACAGTTACTCTTCAGGATTATAGTAAACTGACAGGGCCAACCTCCTTGTACGCAGTAGTGTTCAGATGCATGTACTCCGAAGGCAGTGGTGGCAGAAGCTGGCCTAAGGCCATCCTGGGTAAAGTCAGCTCCCAGTAAGGGCCCTCTTGATGGAGGCTTTGGATGTAAATATTCTCTTGCTCAAATCTTGTTTCCTTTTTTTTTGGTACTGGGGATCAAACTCGGGACCTTGCGGTTGCGAAGCAGGTGGCAGAACCACTGAGCTAAATCCCCAGCCCTTTTGTTTCCTTTTTGAGACAGATACTCACTACGTAGTTCACGCAGATCTTGAACTCACTATGTAGCCCAAACTGGGCTCAAACTCACAGTGATCCTCCTGCTTCACCCTAAGTGCGGGGATTCCGGGCATGTGCCACCACACTCCATTTCTTGCTCAAATCTTATCCTGGCTACTCTAATTCCTGAGCCAAGATCTGGCCACATAGAGTAAAATTAAGACTAAGAAAGACAAGTTTGGATCATCCACGTACTAAATGCTCCATGCCTGTGTGTTCTCTGAAACTGTGTCGTGCAGGGAACATGTCACAGGGCTGCATCTGAGCCCTTTTCTGACTGCTAGGACCTCTGAGGCTTGAGCAGTTTGCCCTTGAAGTCTTCCTTTAAAGATGTATCAAAGCTGGCCACAGTGAGCCTCTAGATGTCTGCTAATGAAAACCCCCCACACTCACACTGTCCCATGCCCATCAAAGGGCTCTCAGGACAGTGGTGAGGGTCTAGAGTTGGAGAAATCTTTCCACTCCTCATGATGAGTTTCCCCTACTGCTCGATAAGTTTAATAGTAATCAACTCGAGACAACCTTACTATACCCACCGTGAGATTATACAACAGATCTGACCGCAGAACATTCTAGAAGTGTGAGCAAATGTAGGGCAAAGCAGTTATTAACTGTAAAATTACAATTAAAGATGGGGACTTCCTCAATAGCACTGTGAAGGTGTGGTCTAGACTCGGACACTAGAGTCCATCTGAACTTTTACTCATTCCGCCTTGGTCCTTAAATGGTTGTTTGGAAACAGGGTCTTGCAGTAGTGACACAGGACAGAGAAAGCAAGGCCCCAGTGGGCGAAGGCAGACATGCTCCACTCACTTTGTTGTCATTTCCATATTTGATCATTTCATGAGCAAAGTCATCCGTCGGCTTGACGCGGACAAATGCATGAACCTTCTTCTTAGAAGCCATCCTAGCTGAAGGGAAGAGAACAATGCAATTCTCAGTGGTTACCATCAAATAACAACAGGGTGGAGTCATCAAAAAGATCAGGAAAAGAGTGAGGTATGGCCTTGTTTTCCTGTGGCTCTGAGAGCCAGTCTTTCTTCTGGCCCCAGCTTCCCAGTGCTTTCCCCAAAGGACCCTCTTCAGCAAGCACTGAACTTCCTGCTGTAGTCAGCTTAATTTTCCACCATTGACCCCAAAAAGACTAAAATAGAAAGCAAAAATAATCTTCCCTTTAGTGGTCTTAGTTGTTGTTTCTAGAAATATTCTGCATCTAAGATGTGTTAACTTATGTTTTACCTCACTTATTATATTTTCTTGTAACATACTTACTATGAAATAGTATGTTAAAACTAGAGTTTTCTTTTCTTTTTTCGGTATTAGGGATTGAACCTAGGACCTTTGCATTGAGATACTTGTCCCTAGCCCTTCATTATTATTATTATTATTATTATTATTATTATTATTATTATATTATTATTTTTGGTACTGGGGCTCGAACTCCAGACCTTGTGCTTGGAAGGGAGGCGGCAGCACCACTGAGCTAAATTCCCAGCCCCCTTTTATTATTTCTTGAGACAGGGTCTCACTAAATTGTCCAGGCTAGGCTCAAACTTGCAATCCTGGGCCAGAGATTTAGCTCAGTGGTTCTGGTGCCTGCCTCGAAAGTGCAAGGTCCCGAGTTCGATCTCTGGTACCAAAAAACACAAAAAAACTTGCAATCCTCTTGCCTCAGCCTCCCAGAGCGCTGGGATTACAGGCATGTGCCACCACACCTGGAAAAACTATCTTTCTTTGTTAATTTATCTTGTATCAGATGCAGCACCACCTTCTGTGCTTGAGCTGACTATCTGGATCAGATAAAGATGCCCTAGCAGGCTAGTCTAGTCTAGACCAGTCCATAATCAGTCTTTCTTCTGTCATTCCACTGACAAAAATCACAGTTCCCTATTTCCTCTCCCTCTCTTGAAAGGTAAGTACTTATACTCTCATCAGTTTCTTTCAGGGACCCACAGGCATATTTGTCTTCCCTCATTTATACTATCACAAATAAGTACCATTTGTACAAGCATAACAGAAGTTGAAAGTTTGATGTGGCTTTATGCAATAGGATGGAAGAGGATGCCCAGGACTTGCAAAGCTTTCTAACAAACTTGTATGATGTTTAAAATTTTGAAGCTAATTTTTTTTAAGGTTTTTTTTTTTTTTTTTTTTTGGTACTGGGGAATAAAACGCAGGTCCTTGCACTTGCGCAGCTAAATCCCCGGCTTTTTTTCTTAAGTCTTTTTTTTTTTTTTGGTACTGGGGATCGAACTCGGGTCCTTGTGTTAAGTTTTTTGAGACAGTCTCACTATGTAGTTTAGGCTGGGTTTAAACTATGTGGCCCAGGCTGGCTCCAGTGCTGGGATTATATGTGTTCAGCATCACACCCGGCTTTAAAACTAATTTTAAAGATCTTTATTATTAAAAATAAAAAACTCAAGTATAACAGCAGGTATAACAGGAAATTCTGGTTTTTGTTTTTTGGTTTTGGTACTGGGGATCAAACTCGGGACCTTGTGCTTACAAGGCAGCAGAACCATTGAGCTAAATCCCTGGCCCAGGAAATTCTTTTAATTAGTAAATTATTTTGTTTTTTAAAAAACACATTAAAGTCTAGGTTTGGAGGTGCACACCTGTAATTCCAGCACTCTGGGAGGCTGAGGCAGGAGGATTACAAGTTTGAGCCCAGCCTGGGCAGCTTTGTGAGTTAGGGAGACCCTGTCTCAAAGTAAAAAATTTAAAAAAGGCTGGGTGTTTGCATTCTCTTTGCCTGTATGCACCTTAAGGTTAATAATGACAAATGGCTGTATGGAACTCCTCTACAGATGCGAAGGAGCAGACTGTCAGTGCAGAGCTTCTCTGCAAATCATCTCCTCTGTGAGCTGTGGCCATCGCTTGGCTGTCTTCCTGGGTCTCACCAGTCAGTGTGGTTCCTCTCCTGCCTGGGTTTGAACTAGGCGAGACCTCATCAAATTATGGGCCACTTTGTTACAGAAACAGGCTGCTTGTGAACGCCGAGGTGATTCAGTTCTCCTTACAGAAGTATGAATTCTCCCCCACACTAGAAAGGCAGCATTTTGGGGGCAGACCTCTCCTCAGCTTCCCTGCCTCCTCAGAGTGGGTTGTTAATGGAAGTGTGTGAACACTGCAGCCTCCAGAGTGCAATGTTTCCGTAACCTATGTGTGGAGTATTCTAATGCTAGTAAAATCCCCAGCCTTTTGATGGCCTTTTACATGCTTCTCTTGCTGTGGGTTTCTTGGGTCTGAATAGATTATTCTGTACAATTAATTTATAGCATATTGGGCCAGGGATTTAGCTCAGTGGCACTGTGCCTGCCTCACAAATGCAAGGTCCTGAGTTCGATCCCCATACCAAATAAAAAAAAATTTTTTTTAAATATATATATAGCATACTGCACGTGTGTACGCACACACACACACACACACATAGTCTGGGGGTGTAGTTCAGTGTGAAGACCTTGGGTTCAATCCCTACTATCACAAAAAAGCACATTAAATAAATAATAGTAACATTTCACATGTACTTTTCTTTTTTTTTTACATGTACTTTTCTGAGAGAAGCTCAATGTTGTTACCTAACAATAATTATTCTAGATTTTTAAAATATTAATTTCCTTTCTCATTTCCAGACACAAGTTGCAGTGACTACTTGATTTCCTCTTACAATAACATTAACTATCATCAAGTGGTGTTAAGTGTCCTTATAGAAGCCAGTAAAATAGAGACAGGTGTTGCTATTTCAGTTTAGTTTCAATGATGTGGACAAAATAAAACCATGACTCCTCATAAGTCCTTCAGCTGTCAAATCAAGTAAGCAAACATGGCACTTACATACTTGCCTATTGCAGAGTGTGTGTGCACATCTTACATTTCTCAAGACACTACTTCATGGAAGTCTTTTTCCTAGATACTATGGGATACAGCATCTATGGTTTTTTAGTTTTAGAAAATTAATCTAGCCAGGCATGGTAGTGTACACCTGTAATCCTAGCACTTGGGAGGCTGAGGCAGGAGAGTTGCCTTGCATTTGAGGCCAGCCTGGGCTACATAGTGAGTTCAAGGACAGCCTGAACTACAGAAGTGTAACCCTGTCTCAAAAAACCAAACAATAACTGCCTTGAAAGTGCAAGGTCCCGATTTCGATCCCTGGTACCAAACCAAAAAAAATAAATTAAATAAAATAAATCTAAAAGATATTGGGGTGAGCAAAGATAATGGCTTATCCAATTTAAGCCCTAACATGTTTTGTCTGCAAAATTGAGCTCTAGAAATAAAAAGTCATTTCCAACTTCAGTTTGATTTATACTACCGGGAAGCCGAGGGAAGAGGCAGTTATGTTCTGACTCAAACCCTCACACCAAAACCACTTCCCATGCCAGGAACAAGGGCCCATCCTCCAGCCATGCAAAGTTCAGATGACATCCAGAGTGCCCTCTGAAAGGGACCATGAAGAAGCAGGGAACTCTGGGAGCAGGCGCTCAGGTCTCCCTCCCTGAAGCCCCTGCCTGCCAACAGCACAAGGGTAGCACAGGCCAGATCAGAGCATCCCCCAGAGCCTGCCCCTTCTCTGCCCTGAAATTGCCAACATGCACATGCAGTCGCCCCATCTGTGCTTCCCAAGGCCCTCTTCATGCTCATGCCATGGCTCCAAGCATGCCAGGAGCTACACCCGCATGCAATAAGGCTTTCCTATGACCTACTACTTACCAGCCCCTCAACACCCCGACATTTGGGGACCCCATGCCATTTTACACTTACTGAAATACTGCTTGTTACCATTTTTATGCCGCTTCATTTGTGTGGGTTTCAGCTCCCAAACCCAAATTACTTGTGAGCTGCCTGAGGCCAAGCTCTGTGCCCCCCACAATATGCAGAACAGTGCCTGGCACACAGCAGGTGTTCATGAAATGGCAGTTGGTGGTGGTGGTCATGGCTGGAAGTCAGAGGGTGGCTGAGTCTCCACATGTGCGTCCATCTTCAGTTACTACTGAGAGAATCCCAGGGGTGTATGAGGTCGCTCCCCTCCCACACCACCTCCAACCCGAGCCCAAGGCCCTTCTGGGAGAACACTTGGTTTCGAGGCATAAAAAGCCATGTTCACCTCCTCACTGTGCCCTCCCTTTTAGCAGTGTCCTCTTCCTCAGGACGCTGTGAGGAACACCACTGTCTTTTAGTCACCATCTTTAATATTCTGCTGTTATAAAGAGATTAAGTGGCCACAAGGAGATCTTTATGCTGAGACTCGTTTCCTCATGTTTTAGGAGTAGGAATGGACAGTACGGCCTCCAAGCATCCCCGAAGGCTCGACAAGAGCGTCTGGTGGGACTGTAGGCAAGAGGCAGGTCCCCATCTTCCCGTGCTCTTGCCCAGACCAGGGACAGAGGCGGTGGTGGCTGTTAACAGCAGCATCTGAACCCAAAACACAAGGTCTGATTGCACCCAGCCTTAGGATGAACGCAAGCCTGGCATCCAGGCAAAAGTAGCCTTTCTCCTTTACCTCACCTAATGTGCGGGAGCCCTGGGTGGAATGTGCGCGGCAGGGGCCCTTGAGCCCATTCCCGTCCCTCTCTGGAGCGGTTTCCTCATCTGTAAAGTGACGGCCTCGGATTGATGATCCCGAACCCCCCTCCAGTTTGAAAACTGACGAGTGAAGAAGAGTCCAGACGTCCTCTGGTACTCTGCCTCACACCGTCTGTGTCGTGGGCGCGACGTGGGACCCTCGTTAGGCTAGGGAACACTAGCTCGGAAAACCCCAAGTCACTATCAGGCTGAAAGGGGCCCGGTGATGCCTTGTCCTCCTCTGCCTTTGTTTCACAAATGAGTGAGCAAAGCCAGGAACTCCCATGTAGACCGCTCTCGGACCCCAGCCACTGCCAGCGGCCCGGACGCACACCCCATCGGGTCTCCCTTCGCTCTAACCCCGCCCGCGCATGGCCCCCGCTCACCGCTCTCGAGGCAGCGGCCCTTTCCGAGCGCGACAGCTGCAACTACAGCAACCCAAACTCTGCACGAGACCAGGGCACCCCAGGCGGAGCTGCCCGGCTGTGTACACAGTCGCCATGGCAACAGACCGCTTCCGGGAATTACGGAAGTGTCTGGGAGTGTGGCAGAAATGAAAATCCAAAGTTCTTCGGTGATACGATTAAGGTCAAGGCCGAATCAGAAGACGGCAAATGGAACCCATTAATCTAGAAAGATTGCAGCAGGCGTATGCACAGTCGAGGCCTTGAGAGCGGGAAACGAAGGCTATGGTTAAACCAGGAAGCGGGGCGGCCGGGCTTCCGGCGTAGAGGAGTTTGCGACTACGGCGCCGCGCGGGCCCATCCAATTCCGGCTCCGCGCTGCCAGCTGCAGTCGGCGTGCGCCCTCGCCGCGCCCTGATTAGTGTGGAGCCGGCCGGCCAAGCCTGCGCAGTCGCGGCGGCCGGGGAAGATGGTGGAGGACGGCGCGGAGGATCTTGAGGACCTGGTGCACTTCTCGGTGTCCGAGTTGCCGAGTCGCGGCTACGGCGTCATGGAGGAGATCCGACGGCAGGGCAAGCTGTGCGACGTGACGCTCAAGGTGACGCGGGCTGGGCGGCGGCTGGCGGCGGCAGAGGAGGCGAGCCAGAAGAAAAGAGGGGCGGCGGACAGGGGCAAAGAGGACAGTGGGCGAGGGATGGAGAGAGAGGCGGGTGGAAGCCAAGCTGGGAGAGGACGAGGGACAGCCTTTCAGCCCTGGGTAGGGAGGGTGAGAGGTGAGCCGCCAGGCCCTCAGAGTGGGCGACGTGGGGTGCCCGCCTCCTTTTTCTGTCACACAGACCCGAGAAGATGTGCTCACAGCCCCCCGTGGAAGAAGGGGTGGGGGCTGGCTCCACACGCTGGTGTGCTCCCTGCAGCATCTTCTCTTGGCACTTAGACTTCTTTGTGCCCCCAAAGTGATTGTGTTGTGCAGAGGCAAAGGCTGCTCCTCAGGAGTCATTGCCTCCCCTTGATTGTTAGATGACGGTCTTGTCTCTTAAAGAGCTCTTACACTCGATCTGGAAATCTTTTGAGGTGGGCAGCTACTCAGCTCACACTGGAAGACTTTCATATCCCACCCCACCCCAAAAAAAGGTCCTAGGCTGATGGGCTGCTTGAGGAGAGGGGTGCCTTAACCACCTGTTCCCTACCAGCTCTCCAAAACTGTTCCCCGCCCTGGCCAGCGGCCCCCAGCTGCCGCTGTGCTGGGGTTCCCCGGGTCGCCTTGTTACTCCCTCAGGCCGGGCGTGCCTCTGAAAGACGGCCCCTGGGTTATGACCATCACTTGCTCTGAAGGCATGTTTCCTCCCTGAACCACATGATCCCAATCAAAGACATTTCTGATTTGTTTACATCCCTGAAGAGGATTTATATTTACCTCTGTAGAAAAGGAAGGAAAAGATGGGTGTGAAAACATTTCCCCAGAGCTCCTCTTCCCATAGTCAGGAAATGGTTGTAAAACTACATATGCTACGAAATGATGGACATTTTTGTGATGTCACTATTTGTGTCCAGGACACAATCTTCCGGGCACATAGGTGGTACTAGCAGTTTGCAGTGATTTCTTTCACACCAAGCTTGTGGGCCAAGCAGAGGATGAGAACAAAAATGTGTTGGATCTGCATCATGTTACAGTGACTAGCTTTATACCTCCTTTAGAATATGCTTACATAGTCACTCTGTCGATTAATACAGAAAACATTGCCGGGGATTTAGCTCAGTGGTTCCGTTGCTTGCCTTGCAAGTGCAAGGACCCGAGTTCGATCCCTGGTACCAAAAAAAAATTCCAGAAAACATTGATGTTCTAGCTGCAGCGAGCTATATCCAGATGTTTAGTGTTGCTAGCACCTGTGCAGAGTTCATGAAACCAAGTATTTTATGGAATATGCCCAATAACCAGGCAGAAAAGAGTTTAGGTGGTGGGCAAGAAAAGAAAATTCTAACTGCAATTTTACTTCTGGAGATGGAAGCATTTCTCCAGTATCTTCAGAGTGCAGTGTGTTGGAAAGAATCATTCCTGTCTGCTGAGAATCCCAGAGAAAGCACAAAAGCTACACTGTTATGTTTCCTAAGAGTCTTGTAAAATGTACCACACAAACAAGTTCTTAAGAGGTGTTGAGTTCTTCAGCTTCCTACACAGAACACTGTAATCGACCAGGTGACTAGCTTTTCCTTTTGGAACTGATCAAAGAATCAGCTTGAGAAAGCTAAACAGGTGGAAAATATCCAGATTTTAGAATTACCTGACCCACCTGAGGTAGATAGAAGAATGGCTGTGACTTGCGAGAGTACAAAAACTGCCTTGCCTCTGTATGCTGAAGATGACAAGTCAAAGCAGAAAGACTAAGTGACGAAGAGGACCTGGAGGAAGTATCCCAGCCTGTCAGTGCATCTCAGAGTTCACTGAGTGATCAACAGACAGTACAGGAAAATAAACCAGACTGAGAGGACCTTCTGATTAGTCCACAGTCTTCCGATACAGGCTCAGTAGAAGCAGGCGTTACTGAGGTGCTTCCTACACTTCAGTGCACCTCTAGCGCTAATGCTCACGTGGATGATGATGATCGACTGGAAAATGTTCCGTACCCTTACCAACTCTACATTGCTCCTACGGGTAGTGCAGAATGACGAAGTCCAACCGGTCCAGATGGGCGTTTTCGGGGTTCAACCATGGGGTGCAATTCACCCGTATTCAGAACCTAGAACAGCATGTGCTACCAATGAGGAATTAAACCGTTTCAGTGTGACTGCTGCGGGAAAAAGTTCACCAGGGCTTACCTGCTAAAGATACATCACCTGAACCCGGCCCCTATACATTTAATTTTTTAAGCAAGAAAGAATTTGGGAGGGCCGGGATTTAGCTCAGTGTTTCCGCCACCTGCCTTGAAAGTGCGAGGTCTCAAGTTTGGTCCCCAGTACCAACAAAAAGGATTTGGGAAAGAATCTCCCTTTTCACTTTGTAAGCCTACAACTGATGTTTTATTTTTCTTAACTGAGATGGCCTTGTAAGGACACAATAATGTGATGTTGAAATGATAGAAATCATGACAGTTAGGAAACCAGCTGATTTAAACTATATAGGTACCAGGTTTTTTCTTTCATTATTTAAAGTAGGCTAATAGATCATTAGGTAAATAAATCATGATTATTGACCATCCTGAGATGAAAGGGTATGTGAGAAGCAAATTATTAAGCAGCATTTGACTAATGGCCTGAGTAGATGTTTGCTCCTATATGCAGGATGTTGCCAAGCCTGTTGTTTTTGGAAGTATTTATGCTACGCTTTCTTAAAAATTACTAAGTAGGGCCGGGAATTTAGCTCAGTGGTTCTGCTGCCTCCCTCGCAAGCGGAAGGACCCGAGTTCGATCCCCGGTACCAAAAAAAAAAAAAAAAAATTACTAAGTACTTCTGAAATCAAGCGTGCTTTTTTTTTTTTTTTTAAAAGCTTTGTAATTTCTATTATGATTTTTTCTGGTGAAAATTTCGTCTTGGGTAGGCATTCCCTATACCTTTAAAGTACCACTCCAAAGGCAAAGAACCATAACTGAGCAGTCATGCTATGGATGAAATGACCAGGAATGCAGAATAAAATAGGCAAATCCCAGCTTCATAGAAAATCTCTTAATGCCGCTATTCTGACTAAAATTGACATGCACCTGGTCTTTGAAAGTTAATGCCTGGCCGAGGTCACTGCCCAAATTACTTTCGCCCTTGGCCTATCAACTATATTTGCTCTTGCATATACTGGTGTACTACCATATGAGGAGAAATATCCCTCACAAGCACAAGGACCCAAGTTCAATCCTCAGTACAAAAAAAAAAATCCTGAGAAAATATCGGAGATATTCTGTATTTTATGTATAAGTTTATGTATTATTTGAGATGTTTTACCCTGCAGTTTTAAACAAAGAATTCTGTTGAAGCTTAAAAAAAGACAATCTCCCCACCCCCCCCAATAGAGCTATTCAGAGGGGTCTTTCTGCTCATATTTTCTACATGGTTCAAAAAACCTCTTGCATGTATTTAAGTCAGACTGCTACAGACAGTAGAATAGGGTGGTTAAGAGTCTGGCTTTGAAGACCGCAGGATTTGGATTAAAATCCTACTTGTAACCTTGGGCGAGTTACTTAATCTCTCTAAGCCACAGTTTTCTACATGTAAACATAGGGATGGTTACCTGGCATAAATTTTTCATCACTTTGAAATCCCTGCTGAAGGAGACAGTTTTCCAGGAGAGGAGTAGACTGAGGAAAAGGGCAAGATCTTCACAGGTGGGAAGGGAAAATCAAGAGAACGAAGAAAAATAAGCTGGACCAGAAGGAGGCAGAGGAAGTAAAAATAAATGAGAGGTTGTGTGTAGAAGATGCCAAGGCCACTCGAGATCTGTAAGCAGAATGATCGAGTTGTGGCAGTAACATTTGGTGTGAGAAGAGAAGGGTGAAAGCTAATCGTAAGGGAGAATTTTTGGATTAAGATTTAGATTGTAGAGGGCCGGGGATTTAGCTCAGTGGTTTTGCTGCCTGCTGCGCAAGCGCAAGGACCTGAGTTTGATCCCCGGTACCAAAAAATAAATAAATAAATAAAATAAAAAATAAAAAGATTTAGATTGTAAGAGTGGGCTTAGGAAGATTTATGAAACACTGAGAAAGAGAGAGTGGCAGATGGGATGGTTACAGATAACATCGACATAAAGTAGAACTTTATGTATTTATTTATTTATTGTTTGGTACCAGAGATCAAACTCTAGTCCTTGCACTTGCGCGGCAGGCAGAAGAACCACTGAGCTAAATCCCCGGCTCTAAAGTAGAACTTGAATGCAAATACCAAATATAGCAAATCTGTAGCAGAGAAATGCTTGAATGTTTTTTTCCTTTAAGAACTTTTCTGTTGATTCACAGGGACAAGTAAGTCCTTCAGATGGAGTTCCTGCCAAGAGTGTCAGTCGGAATTACTCTGTTAGAGTCAAGGGTAGGGACATAGGGACCAGTATAAAGGCATCGGCATTTCCTTTGTGGGTTCTCAAACTGTTCTGTAGAGGCTGAGGAGTATCCCAGAATAGTGGGGACCAGGGAAAAGTCAAACAAAGGGGCCTGCTGCATTTCACTACCCTCTGCAAGAGCTGCTCTAAAAAATCTATTGTTTTTTTTTTTTTCTTTTTCTCTTTCATAATAGAGTCTTTCTCAAATTTCTGGTTTCAGACTGGTTTTCAGATAAACAGGCACGGAAAAGCTGATTGGAAGCTTTTTGGTGTGTGATGATTTATTGACTAGTGGGCCTCCCTGTAGGGCAGGGGTTCTCAAACTTCAGCAGGCTTAGAGTCACGTGTTGGCCTTGTCAAAACTCTGGTTGTTGGAGTTTACCCAGAAGTTCTGACTCATGGGTCTGGCACCGGCCTGAGAACGTACATTTCGGTCAAGGTCCCTGGTGATGCACCTCCGATTCTGGGACCACATTCCGATCGCTGTAGGATGGTGTCCTTTTCATTAATATGTGTTCGGCGTCCATCAGTCTACCTCCAAGCATCTTCCTATATGGAACAGGTCTAGCTGTCAACCCCTGGG